CCACCTGCCTCAGCCCCGTGTTTGGTGCCCAGGACGGGGCCAGCAGGAGACAGCAGCAGCCCGAGGTCTGGGGACAGAGTGGGGTGAGTGCCTTCCTGCTAGAAGTGCTTGTCTGGGGGCCGGGGTGGTTGGTATCGGCCTGGGCAGAGTGGGCCCTACTGCAACTCCATAAGCATTTACTGAGCTCCTACTGTGTACCCCACTTACATTGTGCAGGACATAGAAGGACAAGCAGCTTGGTCCTCCCTAGGAGGTCAGGCAGGATCTGCAGGGCCCAGTGGGGTCTCCTCCCTCACCCAGGATGGGCCCTTGGGGCCAGATGGTCACCCTGGGCTCATGACCCCACCCCTTGTGACCTGCAGAATGTCCTGCTATGTGTCTGCAGAGCCCTCCTATTGCACAGCTTGTGGGGGCCCAGCTGGACCCCTGCTCCCAGGAGAGCGGTGGAGTGCAGCCAGGGGCTTCCGGCTTTGTAACTGGCCCAGTGTCTGTCTCCTGTCCAGACCCTGGCCTGAGCTGGCTGTCTGTGGAGCTGGAACTTTTTGGGAGTGGACCAGGCCTAGCAGTGGCCACCATTCAGCCTGGGCTGGCACCTGGGGTGTGCGGGGCCTGTAATGGCCTGACTGACCCACAGGCCATGCTTTAACCCTGCATTTCCTCCAAAAACCAGCTCAGAAAGCCATGTCCTTATTGATGTCTGGGTTACCCTGGAGCAGGGCGGAGATCCGGAAGGCCCCCGAACGCTATGTCGCATTTGAGCTGCTCCAGGAGGCTGTGGAGTCAGCTCCGGCAGGTCCCGGCTCACAGGTCCTGGCTCCGTCCCTGACCAGCAGTGGGACCCGAGCCTAATCTCTGTCTGAACACAGTAGGGAGGCCAGAAGAGTGAAGACGAGCCCCAGAGCACCCAGCCCAGGACCTCGCCCACTGCTTGCCCACCCTGCCCTCCCCCACCCCCAGGTCTGGACCTTCTGGTGTTTTGTCCTTCCTTCCAAGGAGGGCCATAGACTGACTCCAGGACCCACTTTTCCCCATGAGGGCAACCCATTGTGGTCTGGCCTGAGCTGGCCCTACCCTACCTCTCCTCCCGTCCCTCTCCTCCCCTCCTTCACCAGAGCTTGAGCTAAGTGGCTCGGGTCCAGGCAGGAGGCCCAGGGAGCTGGCTGACACCCAGGGTCCCTGTTTCTCTAGGGTCTGCCCGCCTCCTCTCCCCTGATCCCCATAGTGACTGCTCTGTCCTGTGCCCCAGCCGAGAAGGGCAGGGGACCTGAGTCTGAAGTTGCGTAAGGTGATGGTCCATCAGCAGGTAGGGTGTGTGGGGCCAGATGGGAAAAGCTGTAAGGCCCAGAGACCCCAGCATTCAGGAGGCAGGAAGGCCGCTGTGCACCCCAGCTCCAACAGCAGGAGACCCCAACACATCTGAGGCCCAGGAGACAGACCACAGTTCCAGGCTTATCTTGATTCACTTCCCACTGGTGACCCATTCTCAGGGTGGCCCCAGGCACTTCCCGCCTCCGGTCCACAATGACCCTCACCTTGTCTGTCCTTGGTCCTTGGTCCTGGCACCGGCAGCTAAGGCAGTAACCCAGCAGGGCCCGGTGTGGCCCCCTCCCCCTCACCTTTCCCTTGTTTCTTGCTGAATGCCTGTTAAATAGTTTACTTTACTGAAGTAGAACTGAAATTTCCTGAGCCGTACATATTTACAATGTGCGTGGCTACCCCAGGAGGCCAGCACCAGGGTGGGTACAGCCATCCCATCTGCCTGGTGGGGTTGGCGGTCGCTTGGGAGCAGCCGGTGGGCTCAAGGAAGACTCAGCATGGGGAGAGTCGGGAAGGACGCCTGCACACTTGGAGCAGGAAGCCGGGGCAGAGGCTGAGGGCCTCCCCGGAGGACACGGCTAGACACCAGGGCCCTGTCCTCACCGGCTCCCCGGGTCCAGGGGTGTGCAGGACTAGCACGTGGTTGGCTCTGGGCTCTGCAGCCTCCTGTCTCCTCCAAGCACAAGAGAATCCTGAGTGCATTCAGGGGCCTGTGTGGCAAGTTACCAAGGTCACCAAGTTACTCATTGCGCAGAAACTGATTTTTTCTTAATCTTATTAGATAATTTTCAATCTGGTTAAATTTGGACTAAATTGAACTTGGCATCAGGAAGACCTAGCCACTTAGTTTCTGCATTTGCTTCTAAAGCCTGAGTTTCAAGTGCGCAGAGCGTGCGCTCTGCCTCACCGAGGGGAAGATATACGGCTCCATGGAGTTTTGTTCAGGCCTCTGAACATGCTGTTTGAGGCCAAATGGAGAAGCCGGTGCTGGAGGTGCTGATGGACCAGAAGGGCTGGGGTATGGGGGAGCCAAACTGTGTCCCTGCCCGGCTCCCATCCCCACGGGCAGCTGGGGCAGAAGGTGGGGCAGGCTCTCCGGTGCTGTGTGGAGGGCACACCATCTCTCCACACTGACCCCCCGCGACATACCTGCTTGGGGACAGACCAACTGTCCTCCTGAGGCTCCAGGCCCCTGGTGCAGGGCTCGGGCCTGCAGCCCACCCGTGTCAGAGCAGGGACACTGACCCTGGACCAGCATCGTGCCCGAGTTCCTGTCCCGTGCACGGACGGAGCGCTGGTTTACAACAGTGCATACTGAGTATGCCCCCCACGATGCAGCCTACAAACACCTGGCCAATGACGACTCAGGCACCTACCACTCAACACACCGTGACCCAGACCTGAGTCCCCACCGTCTCCCATGGCGCAGGGACGATGTGTCTCAGAGGCACTGTGTTGTCCTAGCTTGGTCCAGAGCACTGACCTCCACTCCACACAGGGCATGAATGTCATCCAAGTCACCACACCAAGACCACAAGCCTCACAGACAGAGGCCACAGACACCCCACTGCCACACAACACAAGGCGTCACTGGACACAGGAAGCCCATGACACCAGGGGACTGTCCCCTCTAGACGTGGACTGTGAGTCCTGTCCCAGGCTGTCCGCCGGCAGGACACCGCCCCTTTAAGATGAGAACCATGGGCGTGCTCCACACCAGGACACAGATGTGCACGACCTTACACGTGATTCCACGCCTCAGCAGCAGAGCCTCCCAGATGCATACTCCCTGGGAATGAAGATAGTGACTTCCAGAGAAGTGGTATTTTGCTATTTCAAATGTATTGCAATTACAGACTCCAGTTACATGGTGGAGGTGTCCATCTGGATGAAACAGAAACCCTTGCAAATGTATTTCCAAGCCAGCCCTGCAGCTGGCGTGGCCCTCGGTGCCACATGAGGTCCCCGAGTAGCCGTCACGGCGGTGCCTTTGTACAGACCTTGTACCCGCACCCGGACTAGCTGGTGAGCCAGGCTGCGACCCCGTACTCTCAGGCTTACTGGGGGCCACCCAAGTCCCCACCACGCTCACGTGGGTGAGGAATCCTCCTGGTGGGATGCCGTCGGTCTGGCTTCTGAACCAGCTGTTGGTGGCAGGTCCTGTGTCTGCAGGCTCCACAGGCGTTCCCTAAAACCACCGTGCCTGTGTGCAGGGCTGGCTCCGCATCCACGTGTGGCCACCGCAGCACTAGGGGGCGGCCCCAGGTCTGCATAGGGCGCGGGGAGGCGCACTTCACTCTCCGGGCTCACGCTGTTGCTCAGCCACGTTCTGAGCTGCTCCCCAGACCTGGGGATCTTGGAACAGCCTGAGGTCGCTTCTGCCCCCTAATGTGGGACATGTTTGGTATGGGGGGACCCATGTGTACAAATCATGTGGTGTCAGTGTCCTTGGGACCCCACCCTCCCCCGGGGCACCTGCATGTCCTTGGGGCCTTCCACACACAGGGACCACTGTGGGTTTTCTCCTGGTCTGCTCTTTGCTCCTGATTACTTACCTTGCAGCCCATGGCTGGGGTCTGCACAACCTGGGCGGGGGGTGGGGGGGTGACATGGATGCACCCTGCCTGCGTGTGCCATCTGTGGGGGATCCTGGGGGTGTGAGCCTCTGTCCTCTCTGTTCTGTGTCTGGGACCAGCCCTGCAGACCGGAGGGTCTACCAGGACTCATGCCTGCCCTCCAGCAGCCAGGGCTTCTCGGACGGAAGTGCTTCCTGGTGTCCAACCACATCCCTCTGGCGGCATGAGGAGCTGCCGCACACTCTCCATCGAGCCTCTGCAGCACTCAGGCGGCAGGAGCCTGACTGTGCCTGGGGGGATCCCTGGAGGGAACTGGCTCCCTTCTCCAGGGCCCCCAGAGTGGGGAGGTTTACAGTAGGCGAGGGCCTCCAGGCCTGTGGGATGGGGGGTGTGCACATGCACCCGCAGACAACACACAGATGCATACACACAACACACAACACACATGTGCACACATGCACGTGCAGACAACACACATACGTGCACACAAAACACACATGTGCACACAGATAACACACACATATACACACATGCACACACAGGGATGACACATGTGTACACATGCACAAAACACACGTGTGCACACGCACACAACACACAGTACACATGCACACACATCACGTGTGCACAAACAGAACACACACGTGTGCTCACACATAGACAACACACACGTACACACATGCAGACAACACACACGTGTACACAAGCAGATAACACACGTGCACATACATATGTGCGCACACGCGTAACACACAGATGACACACACGTGTACACATGCTCAAACGTGTGCACACGCACACATCGCACACAACATACGTGTGCGCAAACAACACACACGTGTGTTCACACAGACAGCACATGTGAGGTCTGTGAGGACACGTACACACATGCAGACAACACACACGTGTGCACACACAACACACACATACACGCAGATAACACACACGTACACATGCACATGCAGACAACACACAGAGTGCACATACATAGATAACACACACGTGTCCCCCCCCCCACACACACACACACGCCAGGGAAGGAGCTGACTCGCCACGACACCAGAGACATGGGGTGTGGCTTCGACCTCCAGCCCACATCCTCCCGGCAGTGTGTCTGTGTGGTGTGCATGCTGGGGACTGGATGCTCTGAAAACACAGCACGAAGTGGCAATGGGGTCACCACGCTGTCCCAAGTGGACTCTGGAAGCTGAATCGATACTGAAACACACGAGGTTTAATATTTAGCGCTGGGTTTCTTTGGTTTGAATGATGAGGTGTGCTCTGCTCTGCCGGTGGGCCAGGGGCTAGGGGGCCCGAGTGTCCGGGTGGAGCAGCCTCTCTGGGTTCCCCGGCCCCACCCCGGGCCCCTGTGCAGAAGCCAGAGCCACGCACCGAGGTGGGCCTGCCCCCATCGAGGACGAGAGACGCACGTGGATGCCATTAACCAGCCTCACAAAGGGCAAACAGTGCAAAATACTGTATTTTGTCTGACGGTTCTGCATCTACAGGTGTTCACAGCACAGCGTCGGGTCTCCGGTTCCTATCGGCTACGGGAGCAGGCGGACAGGCTGCACAGAGACAGAGACTGCCTGGTGGTCACCGTCAGGTTGACCTGTGAGGACACATGGGGTTTGTGGCGGGCATGGGACATTGTCAGGTTTACAAGAATCCCTGGAAGCAAGGCTCCCTGTGCTCAGATACTGAGCGTTGGCCCTGGGACACCCAAAACCTCTCCTCTCCCCCGAGGTGTGTGTTAGGAAGGGTCTGCACCCCCTCTCCCCCGAGGCGTGCATTAGGAAGGGTCTGTACCCCCCTCTCCCCCGAGGCGTGCGTTAGGAAGGGTCTGTACCCCCCTCTCCCCCGAGGCGTGCGTTAGGAAGGGTCTGCAGCCCCTTCTCCCCCGAGGTGTGTGTTAGGAAGGGTCTGCAACCGCTCCCCCGAGGTGTGTGTTAGGAAGGGTCTGCAACCGCTCCCCCAAGGTGTGTGTTAGGAAGGGTCTGCAACCCCTCCCCTGAGGCGTGTGTTAGGAAGGGTCTGCAGCCCCCTCTCCCCCAAGGCGTGTGTTAGGAAGAGTCTGCACCCCCCTTCCCCGAGGCGTGCGTTAGGAAGGGTCTGCAACCCCTCCCCCGAGGCGTGCGTTAGGAAGGGTCTGCAACCCCTCCCCCGAGGCGTGCGTTAGGAAGGGTCTGCAACCCCTCCCCCGAGGTGTGTGTTAGGAGGGGTCTGTACCCCCCTCTCCCCCGAGGTGTGTGTTAGGAAGGGTCTGCAACCCCTCCCCTGAGGCGTGTGTTAGGAAGGGTCTGCACCCCCCTCTCCCCCGAAGCGTGCGTTAGGAAGGGTCTGCACCCCCCTCTCCCTCGAGGTGTGTGTTAGGAAGGGTCTGCACCCCCCCTCCCCCGAGGCGTGCGTTAGGAAGGGTCTGCTCCTGGTGAAGCCCCCTCCCCCAGACAGCGGAGAACACTGAGGAGTCACAGAGATGACATCTGCGCAGGGCAATGAAACTCGTGCTCGAATGTCTGGAAAATGCCGGCTCTGTGTGTGCACACGTGTGCAAGCACGGAGACACACGATGCACGTGTGCATATATGTGGCACGTACACACGTGCGGTCTGTATGTGTGCCCCAGATCTGGGAGGGGGGAGGGAGGAATGGCCGTGCAGTCTCGCACACGTGTTCCTCCGGATGTCCGGGCTCTGCCTCCGTGGGGCCTGTGGAGCTTGCCCGCGGGACGAACCCCTTGCTTCATACACAGCTCACTCTAAGGGACAACTGTCCTCCGAGTCGGGGCTTCGTGCCCAGACGCTCCTGGGAGTGCTGGCTCCCGTCTTCTCAGGGCTGGGGTGTTAGAGCCCCAGATGACCGTGCTGGGCGGGGTACGGTCCTGACAGTGGCTGGCTTTGACAGTCGAGTCTGTTGAAGGACATTTGGGCATTTCTGAAGGCACAGAGCCCCCAAAAGAGCCCGGCCGGCGCCCCGGAGGACTGTCACAGGCTGCTTCTCTTCTCACGTGCACCTGGATTATGGCACAGGCCCCAGCGTCCGTGACGCTCTCAGGCCTGTGGGGGCCGCGCCCAGGGGGCCGCTGAAGGTGGAGGTGGTGACGCGGGCCCCCTGACTCGGACACGGGCAGGCAGAGGGGCCGGCGGTGACAGCCCAGGTCCAGAGCCCCCTGTCCCGACCGGCATCCTGCCTGTGCCTTGGAATGAAATTTCATGAGACACACACTAGACACTAGAAAGAGTGGGCGGCACCTCTGCTGTGGCCAGACTGGCGGGGCAGACGGGACGCACCCCAGGCCTCCCTACGGCCCACGCAGGGCGCGGGGGGTTTTTTCCTGATAGAACCCCTGCTCTGGTCCTGGGCTGCCCTGGGGGCTGGCGACTATGGGTCAGAAAGCCGGTGACTGGGACACGGACGGCCCGTCTGACCTCAGGATTAGCAGAAGCAGACGTGGCCCAAAGCATCTTCCCGCTCGGGTCCTTCACAGCACAGGGTCAGTGGGGGTGCTGGCTGCTTCTGAGAAGTGAGCCCCCGCTGGCCTCACGTGGCAGGACCCCGCTCTGCTCCGACGCTCGTCCGTCAGGGCTGGGTGACGTGAGGCCGGCCCAGCTACACAGTGGTCTCGTTCTTCCACGGCCCTGTCCGGATATTGCCCACGCCATTGGCACTGAAGGACAGGACTTCACACATGTCTCCCTTGAGCAGCCCATTCTGCCCGGGTCCACCGAAGGGCAGGGACTGCGTCCTCCGGAGCATCTCGAAGTGCGCTGGGCCGTGGGCCGGCTCCCTGCCTGGCCGCAGGGGGCAGCCATAGAGCACTGGGCTGGTGTCGCTGCCCTCGGGCTGGCTGACCAAGGGGAAGGGGTCGCCCTGGGCGCAGCAGGCCGGCGTGTGCGCCCCCGCTGGGCCCTCGAGCGAGCTGGGGGGGCTGTCTGTGCGCGAGCTGCGGGGGCTGCCGTCCAGGCTGGACGGGATGTGGTAGGCGTATCCCTGCTCCACCGAGGCTGCCCGGTGCCGGCTGAAGTAGGGAGCCTTAGTTCTGCCCTGGAGACACGTGTGCGGATGCGGGTCTGGCCCAAAGGCGTCCTCCTCGTGCACATGGACGTGGGCCGCGTCCTCCATCAGCTGCTCACAGTGCATCTTGGCGCAGCATGGCGTGGCCGGTGACAGGCAGCTGACGTGACTCTGGGCAGCCTGCAGGTTGGTCACCTTGCAGTGGCCGAAGCCCCGCGGCTTGGCCGGACATGGCGCGTCCTGCAGGCAGGCCACGCGCGCCAGGGCGTCCCCGTTGGTGTCGAGCGCGGGGCGGGCAGCGAGCTTGGAGGAGGGGGGGTCCCCGCGGGAGGGGCAGCAGGACCACCAGTGGTGCCACACGTCATCCCGCTTGGCACAGTGGTGGATGAGCACGAAGAGCCCCAGCGTCACGCAGCACGTGCCGTACAAGCAGCTGAAGACCATGTCCAGGAAGGGGCCCTGGGACACAGCCAGCGCCCCGAAGGTCCAGGTGGCTGTGAACAGGACCAGCGTGAAGGCCGCGGCCCACAGCTGGGCCCTGAGCGAGTGCTCGTTCTGCAGCAGCGAGGCGGCCGGCGAGCCCGGCCGGGCCCTGGGGTTGTGGCCGGCCCCGGGCCCGGCCAGCCGCAGGTGCTCTTCTGGCCGCGCCCTCAGCTCGTACCTGCGCTCTGGGTGGCACCGCAGCTGGACGTAGGTGCCCAGGAAGTACACGCAGGTGACCAGGGTGACGAAGGCCGCCGGCCCATAGAACGCACCCAGGCTGGGCTCCCAGGCCATCCAGCAGCTGTGGGAAGAGGGGGGTCAGTGAGGGGTCGCGCTGGGGCCGAGCGCCTGGCCGTCCTGGGGTCACGGGAGGACGTTCTCCGCGGTGCGTGAGTTTAGTCGTGGTGAGGAGACAGACACAGACACGCCCGCCCGTCCTGTTGGGGCCGGGACAGCGTGGTGGGCGTCTGGGCTCCGGGGGGCTGGCTGCACACCTCTCTGCCTTTCCTCCCTGCCTCAGTGTCCCCAGTGCTGGAGCCCCGAGGGAGCAGAGCCGGTGTGTCCCGCAGGCTTGGCCTTTTGGGGCAACCGAGGAGAAGGAGCCGGGGCGGGCGGGCCAGGAGGGCGCTGGCGTGGGGGGCACGACCGGAGGGGCCGGAGCTCTGGGTGCTGTGTGTGGCTGTGTATATACCCTGAGCTGGTCCTGGGGTGCAGCCGTCTCGAGCAGCAGCCCATAGCGCCCAGGGAGGGGGGCTCGGTGAGACGGGGTCTGCTGGGGGGGAGGGCAGTCCCGCTGGGCACCCCCACAGCGAGGTGGCCCGGGCACGGGGAGGCGCAGGGCACTGGGAAGGAGCCTCCACCCGCTTGGTGCCCAGTACTCACTAGGGCATGTCCTCATTCTCCATCCCGTAATTCCTGATGTTCATGGCGGCCGTGACCCCGCAGATGATGAAGGGAACCCCTCCGCTGATAAGGTAGAACCTGTTAGGGCAGAAGGCCCACTCGGTGCCTGAGAGGCCCACCCGGGCCCCCAAGGTCGGCCTCCAGCAGCTTGGGCAAAGGGGGGACCCGTGTCCTGACAGCACCAACCCCCCAGAGGAGCCCCTGCCAGAGCCGGGCCTCCCCCTCCCCCCACCTAACACCCTCCCTTCCCCTTCTTTCCCCTCCCCA